CAAAAAAAAAAAAAAAAAAGTGAAAAACTAAGAACATAATCATGATTACATTTAAAATGAAAGCCACAGGTATGGGGGTGGATGAATACAAATTGCATTCATCAGTAATCGCTTGTGAGGCACAGAGTTTTAGTGGCGTCTGTGATGGATCTGTGGATGCACAGTGAACACATAGTCAGGCCTCTTTGAAGATGCACACAAGTAAAGGAAGGCAGGCGTGGAGGAGCTCAGGAAACAAGCACTTCACAAGTGACCAGCTCTTGAACAGGAAGTGCTGGTGGCTTCCTGTGAGTCCGGGGTGTGCGGCCCTCTGCAGGCAGCACAGGGAAACACTTGTCGTGAGTCATGGGTCATGGCGGCAATCTTGTCCCTGGGGTTGTAGAAGAAAAGGGAGTTAAGGTGAAGTCAGGGCCTGTGACTGGACCGTGCGGCCTGCTCTCCTGGTCTCACAGCCGCATCTTCACTACGCATTGCACAGACACGTTATTCCTTCATGAGCGCACGGGGCTTTAGCTCAATCTTTTCCTACAACAAAGGCACACAATGTGCAAATAAGGTAGTGCCAATCCATTTAAGTTATGGGGAAAAAGGACTGATGTGTATTACATGACCAGTCATAGGGTGGGGGAGTTTGGATGATCCTTGAGCCATGTCGTATCACATGATGAGGACACCAATGATTCTGATCTATTGTCATTGGAGATAAAGGCTTTCGGGGCCTTCTAAAGTCTCGGGGTCAAAGGATTTCCAAATCTCCACCATTGTGGGACATCTCTCCCAGATCAAAACCTAGCCCTGGCTAGATCAGGGTACTTAGACTGCCACACTCAGATCTCCTACCAGGAAAGGATCGCTCAAGTTTAAGAGACCATGAAATCCTGGAAAGACCTAACATGAACTTATTTACTTCTTCTGCTTGCAGTTTGAAGAAGAGTTTATAGCATCTCCTGAAGACATGGCAAAGTTAAAAACTGGTAAGCCTAAGTTTCCTCTGTCCCCGATCAGGTTATCGGGGAAAGGCAGTCATCCGAGGCAAGGGCAGCACGTCAGTACCATGATGTTGGGGAGAGGCCAGGAGGGGAAATGTGGGGGTTGGGGCTTCTGGTACACCAGACAACACGGTCAGTGCGAGGAAGGACTGAACCGCTCCAAGTGCCCCCAGGACCCTGTGAGTGTGCCCTGCTTGCTTCCTGTGCCAGTGAGCTCAGAGAGCTCAAGAGCCACGGTGCCCTTCGCTCAGACATGCACAGTGACAGACACGGAATCACGGGAGGAGCGCGACGTGGGGCAGACCCCTCTGCGTTCTCACTCACGGCTTGGGATGAGTTGCCACCGCCCCAGCAGTGCAAGGGCGGAGGCGTGCACGGTAGGACCGCCACAGAGAAAGCTCTCTCAGAAACCACTGTCAGCACAGTGAACACCAGGAGACTTCCTGTGGAAACTCCCACCTCAGGGGAAGCTCACCCTAATATCGATGAAGATGGCAAAATGGAGTCTTTGAAATGCAGTTGGTAGGGGTCATGCGATAAGATATGCGTAACTCTGAGGGTCAGTCTGATTCAGGTAAGGTATATGCAGTGTGTGAAACAGCACCATGAAATTCTTTGTACAGTCAACATACACCTTCAGAAACAAATGGCACGTGTTGTGAACCAGGCATGTCCTGGGGACTAGTAGAGGGGTGAGGGCAAATAGGGAGGTGTGGGGGGGGTGAGTAGGGTTGAGATACTTTATGTTCCTGTGTGGGAAAGGAACGGTGTGGCTCGTTAAGATCGGGTTGGGCTGGGAAGGGGAGGATGAAGTCGGTCAGGGGACATTGGGTGCAAGTTTAGACATGTCAAAGTGAACCCCTTCATCCAACTAATTGCTGCTTAGGGGGGAAAATGCCAACAAGAAAGAGTATGCATAATGATGAATTAAACCCCCAAAGCACAGAAATGCTCATCTGTATCTGCTTAGGACATCAATGAAATAAAATAGGCCAAAGGATGATGGATAAGAAAATGCAGAAATAAAACACGGAAAACAAAATTCTAGTTCACGTGAAAGATTAGTAGACAACCATCTTTTACCCTTTGGGATCTTCAGCCATTTCCGCAAACCTTTCCTTGTGGTATCACAGAAGTGTGACTGTTCTTTTCTTCCTTTTCTCTCAAAAGATGAGCGATTCATGTTCCAGCAGGTGCCCATGGTGGAGATGGACGGCATGAAGCTGGTGCAGTCCAGAGCCATTCTCAACTACATCGCCACCAAATACAACCTCTACGGGAAAGACGCAAAGGAGAGAGTCCTGTACGGCAAGCTTCCTGATCTTCCATCCGTCGATAGCCCGGGGAGGGGTTAGGTGCTTCATCCCAGTGTCAGGCTGGTCTGAGCATACGCACTGAGGTGACTGTGGCAGACTCCTCTAGGATAGATAGAGAGATAGACAGAGAGATGGATATCTCTTGATAGGCTGTTCTAAATAAATAATGCTGGCACCTAAAGAATGTAAGGAAACACCAGAAGACTTGAGTAGCATTCACTGAAGGCAAATGATGTTGCAAACACCTGACATGGTCCTGCCTCGGTCTTTAAACTGAAATCTCTACTGAAACACATTTGAATATTGGGATTTTCTCCCCTTTCAGGATTGATATGTATACAGAAGGCATGACAGATTTGAACGAAATGTTTATTCTTCTGCCAATGGCTTCTAAGGAAGAAAAACCTGACAAGATTGCTACAATAAAAGACAAGACAAAGAATCGCTACTTGCCTGCCTTTGAAAAAGTAAGTGCAGTTGTTGGAGTTGGGGCCACAGACTTCCAAGGACAAGAGGGAAACCGTGGCTGGGCTTTGCTGGGGTATTGGCCTCCACTTCCAGGGAGGCTTCCTGAAGCCCCGTGCAGCACCTGGGTCTACAAATCATTTTAGAGACGTGGACCACTAGGAAGCCCTGGAAAGTTCTGCCATAAAGTTTCACTTTAGGACATCCCAGTGTAGTATTCAGGGTTTGTCAGAGTGCTGACTACATCTGGCTCTAACTAGACCTGATCTGTAGAAGACTGGACCAATCTATGGGGTGGACTGGATCCTGCAGAACAACATGGATGGGAACTCAAGAGCCAAGCGATGACAATCACACAACGGAAAATACTTGGGCAGCTCGGACAGGGAGGCAGGCAGAAGCTGCGGGTCGGGGAGTACAGCAGTGCTCCAAGAAAGGGTGCACAGATGGGTAGAGGGGGAAGGTGGAGTGTTTAATGGGTCAGGATTTCGAGGTGAGCAAAAAACCATACAACCAAAGGAAATAAAGACTGACACTGTGTGGTGTATGTGTGTGTGTGTATGCGCGTGTGCGCAGGTGCATGCATGCATGAGCTCACATTCTGACTCATCCAATTCTGCAGGTGTTGAAGAGCCACGGGCAAGACTACCTGGTCGGCAACAGGCTGAGCAGGGCTGACATCCTCATGGTGGAACTTCTCTACTACATTGAGGAGCTGGACGCCAGCCTTCTGGATGGCTTCCCTCTGCTGCAGGTGAGGCATTCCAGAGCCTTCCAGCGCCCTCAGGCGGCAGCCCCTCCCTCCAAGAATACCATAGTTACAGCCACATGCTAGTAAGGCCCATCAGCCAACTTTTGCTAGGATTCCAAGTTAGGCTTCCATATTGGATTTGAGCCACAGAAATAATTTTTCTGCCAGGAAACACGAGGGAGTTGCAAACCCCAGAAGAATGTTTGCCTCTTCTAACAAGAAGGAACCAGGGCCACGCACCTTTCTGTGTGGACCATGTTCTGTTATGGGCATAGCCCTGACCGCCCTGGGATTTCTTCTGTCCCGTGTGCTCTTGCGTGTTCACACTCGGGTCATCTTCCCCTTGGCATTGCACACGTCCTCCGTAGCCTGCTACCACGCACACAGTCCCTCACCCCAACAACCCCAACTTATCTCTCCGTGGGAGTGTCTGTGCCTGGTTAGACTCGTAACATTAGATAGATTCTCATTTCCAACTTTATTTTCCCATGTCTCATGTCTTTGGATTTTCCTCTTCTTTCTTCTTCCTAATCCTTCTCCTCCTTCTTCCTCATCTTTCCCTCTTTCTCCTCCTTTGTCTTCCTTTTCTCCTCCCTCTTCTCTTCCTCTTCTTTTTTTCTTCCTTGAGCACCTCCTCATTTCTTCTTCTTCTTCTTCTTCTTCTTCTTCTTCTTCTTCTTCTTCTTCTTCTTCTTCTTCTTCTTCTTCTTCTTCTTCTTCTTCTTCTCTTTTTTACTTCGTGTTGTTACTATGACTTGAATTCAGGGGCTTACTCTCTCACTCAGCTTTTTTGCTCACACTGACATTCTACTTCTTGAGCCAAATCTCCACCTCCTGCCTTTTTGGTGGTTATTAGAAAGAAGAGCCTTATGGATTTCTCTGCCTGGGATGACTCAGATCTCAGACTCCTGAGTATCTAGGATTATAGTCATGAGCTACTAGGGTATGGCTTGTGTCTCCTTTAATACCTGAAAGATACAGCATGTTCTTGCTTTAGACAGGAAAATGAATACAACAGGTTTAAGTCTAAGGGAACAGTGAAGACTCTGAGCGGAATGAAGTCTCAGTAGAGGTCTTTGAGGACGGTGCTGTTGAGCTCTGTGTTCTGGCCCTTATGTTCCCTGGGACTCTGTTCCCAGCCTCCTCCTTGAACTGGGCTTGGTCCAAGATGGCTTCGGATTCCTGGGAGGTGCTCATCCCTGGGTGGACTGTGGGCTCCTCTCTGAGGCTCTGCTTTCTGTGTTGCAGGCCTTGAAGACCAGGATCAGCAACCTCCCCAACGTGAAGAAGTTCCTGCAGCCCGGCAGCCAGAGAAAGCCTCCCCTTGATGAGAAAGTTCTAGAAGAAGCAAGGAAGACCTTCAAATTGTAATAAAGATGACATTGGCGAGATGTGGGCATCTGAAGCATCTGATGTTTTGCAATGCTGATGTATTTCATGTAAATGTTGAGTCTGTTTATAGGAGATAATAAAAATTTACAAATGTTCTGTTGACCTAACATCACAGAGTGTGAGCTTCCATGCCTAGCATGGTATAGAAAGAGAAGACACAATAAATACATTAAAAAGATTAGTGCAAACAAGACAAAGAAATATACTGAAATCTAAGTTAAGATACCTCCAACCACAGAAAAAGGATGTCAAAATTAATGTTGAATAAAGTAAGAAGTTAATTTAAAAAAACTTAATTTACCAAGTAGCAATTAAACAAATGGAAACGGGAAATAAACAGAGATAGTTAAACCTGAACAAGAAAAATGAACGGAAGTCAAGCAAGGTAAAAGGGAATTACAACCATGGTTTTAGCCAATTTATGCATTTGTATTCAGGTACTGAGTTGTGATGTTTTGGGGTTGTGATATTTCCTTGTTTTGTCATCGTAGATGTACTGGCTCTGTTTCTCCATTGTAAATTTTCACATCTATTGGGAAAGAGTTCTTACTTCCTTTCAGATGAGAGAGAATGGATGCAGAAACATGGTGCACAACTGAACAATAGATGAGATATTTGTGTGATGTAACCTTCCTCCCCAGCAGGGCTGCAGAGGACCAGAACTTCATTTCTAAGGAATAAGCTGGGTCCTTAACGATGGTTAAAATGACTGACATTAAAAACTAAGCAATAGGAGGGGGGACCAAGATGGCGACGGGGCAGTAGGGAAACGCCACAGCTCTCTCCAACCAAAAAGAGAGTTCGAGTTCCAACGCTTAATCTCCCCAAGAGACCGACAACAACAAAAAGACGAACACTCAGAGAAAAACCAGAGGTG